ACACACACACACACACACACACACACACACACACACACACACACGGGCTCCTGGAGACCTGAGCTTGCTGTCAAGGTAGCCCACAGGTGGGATACACACCGGGAATGGTGTTCATGGAACCCATCAGCTGTTCCACATCAGAGAAGTCCAAGGTCTGGTCTTCAAAGTCAGGCTGGGCAGAGATTTCCACATCTGTTTTTGTTTTCAAGAATTTCCCGAGCCTGTGTGTATACAAAGACACAGTGGCATGAACGCAGGGGTGCGCTTCCTAGGGTGTCTCTGGGTGCCGTGTCACTGGTAGTGAATGGAGAGCCCTCTTTGCTGAGATTTCCCATCCTAACATACTGCTGGCTGCATGTATGAAAGGAAAGGGCTGTGTCAGAGGGTGGCTGGGAGGACGACTGCTCCCCACCTGTGCAGGATCCCTCTGGGGATAACTTGGAAACTCCCTCACCCAAAGCACCCCAGGCTCTAAGATGTACGGAGGGCTCAGACAGGATCCTGGAGCGCCCTCAAGATTCTGGTCTCTGGGCTTCAGATCTCCTGGCAATGGCAAGGTTTCTAAGTGACAAAACCAGGATCTGGAACCAGATTGACTTTTGCCAAAATCCATGTGTTTATCCCTTAGAATACTAAGTTTCAACGTACTCGTTGCTTTGTAGATATTTCTTAGAAGCTTATCATAAAACTGACCTTGTGTGTAAACAAGGAATGTGGTTGAATCTGCCCAGGGTACAGGGGTAGCAGGGTGAGAACCTCTGTCTGTCTGCCTCTAAACTATGCATGATTTCTGCAGCTCCATGGCCCTAGAACAGCTGTGGGGTACTGGGGTTCATTCTAGGTCCCAGCTTCTCCTGGTACAAGGAGAGGCTTGTGGAGACCTGGCCACAAGTTTACTGGCTGGGCTCCCTTCCGGCCCTGAAACTCTGAGATTAAATTCTAGAGGTTCCTTGTGGCACCACGCCACCATTTTGAAGCCAATGCTACTTTACATAGAGGATAAGACCCAGAAGCTGAAACCAGAAGCATAGACCCCAGCAGAACTGAGTCCAGAAGTTCAGAGCAGAAAATGTGTGTCAGAGCAGAAGTTTTACCTGTCAGTCATGGCCACTGCATCCTACGAAGGAAGAGAAAAGGAGAAAATGTTGACTCTGGAAATAAATTTTGTATGTAAACATACAATGGAAAGTAGGAAAAGGGAAAGATCAGCTGTATGCACATATTCACAAAACCATCCTGTGTCTGTGCATTTCCTTCTGCACTATGGCTTTTCCCATTCACAAGGGTGAGCCTTTCCCATGTCACAGACCATCTTTGGACCACTGATTTGAAAGACTGCAAGCAGTTCATTGAATAGAAACTCCACTGTTTGCTTTACCATTCCTCTATTGTTGGGCATTTTGGTGGTTTCCAAATTTTGCCATCACAAACAATGGTGAGAAGAATACCTTCATGGTGTCACCCCCCCCTTCCCATTCTGGGTCGTGTCTCTGAGAACCTCACAAGAGGCATGAGTGTGAATGGCTCTCATGGTGCCTGCAGATTGCTCTGCTTTAGCCACCATCCCTTGTGCAAGTGTGGCAGGAAGGCAGTGCAGTTGGACTTTGAGGAGCTGCTGTTGGCCAAGACAATCTGGGGTTAACACACAGCAGCCTGGAAGCTTCTGGAGCTGGAAGCTCCTCCCCCACATTCTGGACACCACATCTGCCCCATAGTCCTACGGAACCTTGTGGCTGAAGGGGTCTCCAGCTCTGACTGAGACTGAAATTCTCACAGCCCAGCTACATGGGGCTTGGGTCAGATTTAATTTGACTTGAAGAAATTAAGAAATGGAGTTTTGGGGTGCATGTCTAAGTTTATGAAGTAAGATTTATCACGGCTGCCCCTGTAACCGGGAAATTTTAGTTTAGGGGGGTTTTTGTTTGTTTGTTTTATTTATTTATTTACTTTTTAGCCTGAACAACTTTCTCCTCAGAGCACTAAGAGGCTGAGTGGCCCAAAAACGCTCAGGGCACTATCTGTGCTGAGCGCCAAGATGATGTGACAGATCTCCAGAAAAGGGTGCTGCCTCAGTGGGGGTGGTAGGAAAGGGTCAGCTGTGCAGAAGCCTATAGCCACTCAGGACAAAGCCCTGTAGAATGACAGGGCCACGACTTCCTCTGTTGTGAATGTTTGGAGGCCTCAAGTGGATGCCAACCATAAAGCTCAATTTCAACACCCCAGGGGGAGAGAGGACGACCTGACCTTCCCTAACTGTCATTTTGGCTCATGATTTCATTTTTGTTCTTTACGTTTCATTTTGTCTCATTACTGACCTTTAAGAAATCAACCTTCTCCTCATGACACATCTCCTCTATGGTTTCCATCAGTTCTTTGCAGGTATCCAGGTTTTCCCCACAACTGACCAGTTGTGCATACAGGGCCTCCAGCTTCTCTTTCTTTTTCTCTCCTAGAGCTTGTATTTTTTCTTCATATTTTTGGGCAAGTGTTTCCAAGATCTCATTGTAATGTGACTCGAAGTTTTGTTCTTGTCTTCCAAAATGCTCCTGCAAGATAGTTGAGCTCAGTCATCATTTCAGTGCATGTAATATGGGACTAGGATCACCAGAGGCATGAATACATATCTCCCCAGGGGTGTTTCAGCCCCTCCATGTCATCTTGTCTCTCCCAGGATGCCAGCATGAATGCTGAGGGAACCAGGTCAGAGGAGTCTCTGTCTCAGCTCCTCAGAAATGATCTTAGCAAAAATCACAGCTGTATCTCCTAGCAGCGTTTTGAAATTCTCTCCCAGTTTTAGCTACCTCCCATCATCACCATGACAACCAGCCAAGGAGCTCATCAATGATAAATAAGACTGTCATGGAAATCTTCCATTTTAAAGTGGAAATGTTTGTCCTGAGAGGTTCCCACATATCATTCCCTTCTGAGTTCACAACTCCTTAGAATGCTCCTCACAGGAAAGCCAGGTTGCATCACCTAGGGTCATACCAAATAGAGGAAGATGAGGGCCATTTATGTTGGAGCCAGGTGGTATAGCCTAATAGTGAGAAAATGCGAGGAGCAAGCAGGGAGGTGCTTCATTTGGTACTAGTGTTTAGTCCAGAACAATGACATGAGGAATAATAAGTAGAGCATAGCTATTTCTGCTCTTCATTATTTATATGAGAAGCCCAGGGGAACTCTGTGGATTTTGAATGAGTCATCTTCATCAGATGATAAGGACAGTTCTAAAGAAGAGGCTCTTACACATCATTCAGAGTTATAATTAAACACCTAGTATATACATAAGAATTACTCAGAGTGGTGAGAAGGGAAAGCAATAGATGACTCTCCAGTGCACAGCATAAAATGTTGGCCTCAGAATCTTCACTGAGGATGAAGGTACTTTGATCTAAGAGTAGGCTGGGCTAGGCAGAATGGTGCACCCCTGAAATCCCAGCACTTTGGGAGGCTGAGGCAGGAGGATCACAAGTTGGAGCCCAGCCTGAGCAACTTAGTGACTTAGAAAGACCTTGTCTTAAAATAAAAAAGGGCTGGAGGTATAGCTTAGTGCAAAGACCCTGGGTTCAATCCCCAGTACTACCCACCTCCAAAAAAAAAAGAAGGAAAAGTAAGCTGGGGCCAGGGATTTAGCTCAGTGGCACTGCACCTGCCTCGCAAGCACAAGGTCCCGAGTTCGATCCCTGGTACCAAAAAAATAAAAAGTAACTGGCTGTGTTGGCTTTCTATTACTTTGGCAAAATACCTGAGAAGTATCAATTTAACCTGAGAAAAGATTTATTTTAGCTCATGGTTTATCTAGGTTACTTTTTCTTGTTGCTGAGACAAAATACCTGACACCCAAAGTTAAAGGAGGAAAGTTTATTTGGCTCACAGTTTGTAAAGGTTTCAGTCTGTCGTCACTGGCTCCAAGGCAGGGTGGCGTGGCAGAGGAAAAACAGTCCATAGCAGGCAGAAGGCAGCAAGTAGCAAGCAACAAGTGACAGTAACTCTCTTTCCCTTATATCTTATTCAGGCTACCCACCCTTAGTGCATGTAGCACTCACACCCAGGGTGGGGCAACCTCAATCCTAGCACCTCACCATGAATCACATTCTCAAGCCCAGAAGCACACACGCTAGATCTGGCCACCTCCAAAGAGCCCCACCTATGACTATATGAGGCTTTGGTGAGGGGACATCTGACTAAAGCCATAAGATGGTTTAAGTCCTTTGACTCTTGGTCTGGCTAATTTTGGGTCTGTGATGAGGGAGAAAATCATGGTGGAAGCAGACAGTAGAGAAAATTGCTCACCTCATGGCACCCAGAAAACAGGGAGAGAAGGGAAAGGGCCAAGACCACTGCAGGGGCCAATGAGGTCCCACCTCAAGTTTCCACCATCTCCTAAAAGTGCCACCAGCAGAGGACCAAGACTTCAACACATGCACTTTGCGGGGGGTATTTAAGACCCAAACCAAGCTGGGTATGGTGGTGCACACTTGTAATCCTAGCCACTCAGGAGGCTGAGGCAGGAGGATCACAAGTTCAAGGCCTGCCTGGGAGATGTAGGAAGACCTTGTCTCAAAATAAAGAGGTCTGGAGATGTAGCTCAGTAGCAGAGCACTTGTCAGAATGTGCGAAGCACTTGATTCCATCCTCTGCACCACAAAAGGAATAAAAGAAAATCCAAACGGTAACACCAACAGAACAGAGTGTGAGGAGTTGTATGCTGGCTGTTGCATTCTTAACCCTCCCACTACCACCTTTGCTCGGAAGGGGAGGCTTTGCCCCTTCTCTGCCTTCTATAGGGACCAGTGTGATAGCTCTCTTTAAGGTTGAGTATTAAGAAGTTCTAGCTTCAAGGGAAAGGGCCTAGGGCCTTGTCAATTCCTATGAGGTGTTTCTGAGGCTGCATTACAGAAGCAGAGCGCACAAACAGTAGGAGGGCCTCAGTCCTGAGCTACCTCATCTGGAAGGTCACAGTCATGTGCTATATACCCACCAGGCTATACCCCGAGGAAGCCTCCTTATGAGGAACAGGTAACAGCTGAGTGAAAGAACACTTGGCAAAACCAAGATGGGCATTGGCAGAGCTTCATGGAGGCTGGTCTGGGACAGATGGTGGCCTGGCGTTGTGCATCCACCAGCGGGCAGAGAGACAGAGCAGCAGGTTCTAGCTCAGAAGTCCTGGCCCACACTCATCCTCAGGGCATGGTGAGGAGGGTGAAGGGCCTCGAGGGAGAGGAGGCCCCTTCCAACCTGGGAACTTTAAAGTCTTACTGATCTCTTAGCAAGTCTGTAAAGTGGCTAACTAGATGGAGACAATGACACTGATTTTTGTGGCCCATGCACACAGCTTATGTATGCCTGTGTTTAAGAAGCAGTACCTGGCAGAACGAGCATGGTGTCGCAGAAAACAACTAGAAACTGGTATTTGCTATGGGTTAGATCTAAAACACGCCCCCTAGGGTCTGATGTGTGTGGAAGGAGATTGGATCATGGACGCTAAGCTCGTCAGAGGATTCACCCATGGATGAGTTCAGTAGCTGAATGTGCTGTTAGGAGGTGGGGAGTGGCTGGAGGAGGTCACTGGGGACGTGACCAGAAGGGGGTCTTCTTGTCCTTGGCTCCTCTTTTCCGCTTCTTTGCTGTCACAAGGTGAGCACCTTTCTTCCTCCAGGCCCTTCCACCACGCTGCCTCCACCAGCCTACCATGGATTAAATCCTCGAAAAATCATGAGCTAAAAATAAACCTCCTGTCACTTAACGGTGAGTGTTAGGTACTTTGTCCCAGTGACCAGAGAGTGACTAACAGTTGAGCTCAGATATTCACTCTTCTCTAGCTGGGTGATACCGCTATGAAGCAATCATTGTTAGAACAAAGAAGGTTCGAGCCACAAACAAGTGGCAATTTGGGTACGGGGCATGAGGAGGAAAAGGAGCCCAAGAAAGAGGAGGACGAGGACTCTGCTTGCAAAGTTTCTGCCTCATTTATTCATGCAACAAACATGTATAAAATGCCTGTGGCAACACATCCCTCAGCATGGGACTGGGGTGTGCGGGAAGAAGACACAGGCTCCCTACCCATAGGACACAGAACACAGGGTGTGCTACAGGCACGTGCCCTGCTGCTGTGGCGGTTTGAGAAAGGGTGAGGGGACAGAGCACGTCTGTGACAGCTCACATGAGAAGGAAATGGGTTCTCTAACACACACTAGGACTGGCTGCTTGCAAAGGGAAGCCTTGTGTCTGAGGTCGCCAACACGGTCTTACCTCCACAGTGATGAAAACCTCCTCCAAGTGACTTGCAAAATTTTCCATCTCGATAATCTGCTGCTCCAACTTGTACATGTTTTTGTGAATTTCATCCTGTCCAACAGAGCATCACAGAGAAGAAGTCAATGCCACCCTTGCTCTGTCTCCTTTGGAGATGGCATTGAGATCGCTTCCCTGCCATCCCCTTGAAACAACAGTGTGACTCCTAAACAAAGCCCCCAGGAAGCCTGTTACCTTGGCGCTCTCCAAGGCTTTACTGAGTGGAGTTACTTCGTGCTCCTTGTGCTCATCAAAGTCCTTCTCAACACCTCTGATTGGGGTTCTACACGTGACACAGAAGACATCAGCAGCTTCTTCCTCATCCTCCTCCTCTGGGATGACGTAGCATTCGTACTCCTCGCTGGCACGGCCATGTGTATACCCGTAGGCTTCCCGCAAGGCCTGGCTCTGGCTGGCCATGCCCCACCCTGCATAGCCCTGGTCCTCAGCCTCATCTTCTCCTCTGCCAAGTCTCCAGTCTCTCTGCTCCCTGGCCGGCTCTTTCCTCTTCAGTCCATAAGGAGGATACACTGACGTCCCCATTCTGTCTTCATCAACAAACTCGTCCCCTAACTCATGGTCATCCTCTAGTCCATATAAATGGACGAGTTCATCTACTTCTTCTTGGAGGTCTCTTTGAGCTTGGCCTTCCCCTGCCTGCCCTGGCCCACCCTCAGCTTGCACTATTTCTCTCCTCGGTCTAGTGTTTTCTTCTGGGAAGCTCTGTAGTCTGTCTTCAGAGTCATACAGATCCATGTGATAAAAGTGGAAGTCCTTGGGAGCTGTGGACCTGTGTAGCCTGGGCTCCTCCTCCACCTCCTCCTCCATGGTGATTCTAGGAGGCCCAGGAAGCACCAGTGTACAAGAAAGACCCCTGCTGGATGCTAAATAGTGAATTTACAGGGTTCTAGAATGCAAAAAGATGGAAAATATCAGTTCCTGAGAAGGTCATGAGATCAGGTTCTTCTCATTCATAAATTTTAAAAATTTCTCTGAGAAGTTCAGTTTTATGTTGAACCACTTGAAATGAAAGGTATTTTCTCTGGGCTTTTTAAGCTTAAAGAGAAAAATTAGGAGAGAAAGGTCAATTTAACTAACAAAACATTCCTCCTATACATTAAAACAACAACAAGGACAAACCTGAAATGTAAACAAAATAATGGGAAGAATCAGAGGCAATTAATTTTTAAAAGTGTATGAATTCATTAAAAAGTTATGATCTCGTCTCAGCCCAAAGAGGGAAGGTCTTTAAATAATACTTTCTACTTATGTTTATCTTTCTTTATGACAGAGTAGTACTCCTTTGTGTGTAAATACCACATTTTCTTTATCCGTTCAACTGTTGATGGACATGTAGGCCACTTCCAAGATTCCAAGTTCTATTAGAGCTGTGCTGCTATAAACATGGGTATGCATGTACCATTATAACATGATGTGTCTAACTCTTTCAGAAAGATACCTAGAAAGGGAATAACTGGATCAACTGGAATTTCTAGTTTGTTTTTTAATGAATCTTCACACAAGGAATGTAAACATTATATACTGCAAACATATACCTCCCCCGAAAAAAAAAGAAAAAGGAATGTGATCAGGTGGATAGAAGGGTGAGAGAAGGGAGGGAAAGGGGATAAAAAAAGGACTAAGAGGTATTAGGTACATACATCAATTCTCCACGAGGAATGTAAATGTTATGTACAACAAAAATATACTAATAAAATCCATTAAAAAAGAATACTTCTGCAAAAAAAAGTTATGATCCCAAAAGATGAATATACAAGGATAGTTTGTAAGACAATTACTTTTTCATGATATTAGTTGTGCAAAGTATTTGGAAAATTATTTATACTTTTGAGTAATAGAACAAATAAATGAGATGTCATTTTGCCTTTGCAGTTTGGAAATATTTTAGAAAATAAAAATGATATCCAAGGGCTGGGGGTTTGGCTCAGTGGTTCCGCAGCCTGCCTCACAAGCACACAGGGCCCAAGTTCGATCCCTGGTACTGAAAAAAAGAAAAAAAAAAGATACCTAGGGTGGAGGCATAACTCAGGGACACAGTACATGCTCGACATGTTCAAAGATACAAGTTTATCAAAGAGATAAGTAAACTGGATATTTGATTTATGAACTCAATTTGTTCCTGAGGGCTGATTTGTAACTCAACTTGGTAAACTGAAGGCTGAGGCTCCCCTACACAATCTTGAAAGCCCCTCTCCTGTGTACAGGCAGATCTCAGTGTCCTTAGACACTGGCCTAAGATTTCTCAATTAACCCCACACAGGAAAGGATGCTATAAGGTTCCTTCCAGAACTCTTTAAGGGTAAATCTGTATCTGAGACCATCTGCAAGCACACGTGGCTGGCATTGGAGTTGTAATTCTAGACTTTGTAAATTAAAACTAAAATTCTCTTCATGACCCAAGTTGTTTGCATGTCAGGCTGGTCATAACTCAAGGGTCCACTGTAAAATAATAAAATAAAATCTCACTCAAAGCTGGCTAAGGGCACAGTTATGTGACACTCTGGTACACTGCTGGTTGGGATGTAAAGTGGTTCTACACTTCTGGAAAGCAAATTCGGCATCATCTTGTGCAACTTTGAAGGAAAATCCAAAATATAGGAAAAAATTATTTTTCTATGGAGTTTCCATCACATCTTTTATATTAGCAAAAATATTTTTTTCAAAAGTCTTAATGATTAGAATAGTTAAGTCGACTAGGATAAGTACACTATATAGACTATAAAATAGCTTTTAAAATATCTATAGAGAGGATATGAGAACTTGGGAAAAGACTATAAAAGATGCTGAAAATAAAGAGAATTTTTATTGTGTATAAAATATGATGCCACTATTTTAATGTAAAATCTAGAAAGAAATAATGGTAGCAGTAGTAAATACAATGATAGTCACAGAAGCTATAATGAATTGTGTGCTTACTGTATGCTCTTTCTATGAAAATATATACTAATTAATCTCACATACATCCTATGTGGTAGGTACTGCTATTATATTCCTTTTGCAGATGAGCAAACTGGCTCACAGAGAGTTTCTTGTGCAAGTTTACACTGTTATTAAGATTTAAGCCTTAGTCTATGTGGCAGCCAGCTGATTGAGGTTTGATGACATCCAACTACAGGGAACATGATGGACCGGATATTTCAGGTGCCTTCTAAAATCCATTACCACATTACATAGAAGACACATTTCCCACTGACATCTGCCATCCAACAACAGTCTATACTTCAGTGGTCTTTATTATATTCACATATATGTACAGTGATCATCACAGCCAATTTTAGAACATTTTCATTATCTCAAAAAGAAGCCCTTTAGCTATTACTGCCCACATTACCCTTTTCCCCAAGCTCTAAGCAACCAAGAATCTACTTTCTGCAATCTATTGATTTTGTTTGTGTATGTCATATAAGTGGGATCACATAATAGAGGGTCTTTTGTGACTGGCATTTTCCATTTAGCAGGTTTTCAAGGCCCGTGAATTTAGCACATGTCAATACTTCATTCCTTTTGGGGGCTAGAAAGTTTTTTGGATATATAGCATCATATTTTGTTTATTGTTGATCAGTTGCTTTGGATGGTTTCCCATTTCATTTGGGCGTTTATTATAATGATGCTAAAACTTTTATGTGCAATTTTTTTATGGATATATGTTTTCATCACTGAGAGGAGGGGGTAGGGAGGGAGATTTTCCCTAAGGGTGGGATTATTGGGTCAAATGGTGACTTTATATTTAACTTTCTGAAGAATTTCCAAGCAAGTTTTCAAAGTTGCTGCACCACTGAAGGCTCTGACTTGTCCATATCCTTGTCAGCACTTGCTATTATCTGACTTTTTGATCACATTCATCCTGGTAGGTTTTAAAGTGGTATCTCGTTATGGTTTTGAGCTGCATTTCATTGATAAATGATGATGTCAAGTATCTTTTATGTATTTATTGATGATTTTTATATCTTCTTTACAGAAATGTGTATACAATATTTTGTCTACTTTAAAATTGTGCTATTTTCTGTTTATAGTTGAGTTGTAAGAGATTTTTATATATTCTGAACAGTAGTGCCTCTAGGTACATGGCTTACAAATATTTCGACCTCATTCTGGAGGTTGCCTTTTCATTTTCTTCATAATGTCCATTGAAGAACAAGTGATTTTAATTTTGGTGAAATCCAATTTATCTAGTATTTTTCTTTTTGTGCTTATATACTTTTGGTGCTGTATTTAAGAATTTATTGTTAAATGCATGGTTAAAGCAATCTTGCATTCCTAGATAAGTCCCACCTGGTCATGATGTTAACATTTTTTTGGTAGTTTTTTTTTTTCTCTGTGATTCTTCTCTGGTGTTGGTACTGGGGTAACATGCCTCATAGAATGAGTTGGGAAACGTTTTCTGCTTCCATTTCTTGGAAGAGTTTGTAAAGACTGGCATGAATTTTTCTTTAAATGTTTGGCAGAATTCACTTTTGAAGCTATACATTCCTGGGCTTTTCTTGGTGGGTAATTTTTTTCTATCCTTTTTATCTATTTGTATCTTCTGCATATAGCATATCAACTATCTCAATTATTTTTATATATTCATTATGACAAGCTTTCTAAGAATTTCCAAGTCTTTGCACTCTTTTCTATGCAACAAAATGACATTTCCTATGAAATAATATACCAAGCCCTCAAAGTTCTTAGAATTAATTAACTTCCCAATCCTCAGCTTTTTACTAGGATAGCAAACTGAAGGTTAGATTCTTGGCATTGAAAGTATGCTGAGAGCTAAAGTTGTAGCAGTGGAGAAAGACAATTTACCACAGAGAAGTATTAAGCTACAAGTATTAAGCACAGCAACTATGATGTCAGAGAACTCTGAAGGATACCTGGAGGCTGAAGGAAAGATCCTCACAAAGGATGCACCTGAGGATCTTTCCCACAGCCTGCGGGAAAGGGGGCTCAGCTCTCACTGAAGAGGTTGTAACTGAAACCCCAGGACAGGGCAGACAGAGGTGACCTGGCCAGAGCTGGTGCACAGTTGCTGGACAAGGAAGAAAACCAGAGAGACACAGATGAACCAAGGCTGGCTGGCAGGTGAGCAAGGGAGATGAAAGCATTGTTGTATACAAGATGTGCTGGGAGGACCAGGGCACAGTGCTCACCACACCCTGAGCCATTATCACCGTGTTCTACATTCTTGACCTCATAAACCATGCAAGATGATAAATATTTATTTTTTAAGCCAGCAGGTTTTGGAAACATTTGTAACATACATTATCCCAGCCTAAAAGTAACTTCTGTTCATCCGGCTCTCCCCTCTTGCTACCACTTTCTCTCCTTTGTTCACCTTCAAGCTCCTTCAAAGGGTAGCGTTTAGACTGTGTGGTGTGTACATGACACTTCGCAAGAGCTCGTGGATATGGACAGTTTTTAAAGCTATCAGTTTCCTGATGTTCAACCTCACGTTTAATCTTTCCCAGAGCTGCTCTGCTTAGGAATGAGCCAGCATCTGAAGCTCCATGCAGATTTTCTTTCCACTATTACTCTTCTATTACAAAATACAACCACTCTCCTCACTGGTCCTGGATATTACACTGCACTGTAAGAGTTCATTGCTGGAGAATTTAAGAGACCTCTGGGCTGACTAAAGGAAAGGGCAATTTGAAGGGTTGGTAACAACACAGAAAGTGAGTGACATTAATGATGGGGTAAGAAAAACATTTTTCAAGTTAAGTGGCTTCTAGTTCTCTGCTTCCAAGAAAAATGAAAAAGGACCTAGTCAAGTTGTCAGCTGATATAGTGTTAAAATAATTTTTTGTGATAGATTACCATATAATTTTGGCATAAATTTCAGAAAGTTCAAAGGATTGAGTTGACAGTGCTCTATCAACTGCTTTATTTCCATTTACTTATATAGGTGAATAAGATCACTTGGGCTTTCAACTACAAAGTGAAAGCCAGCAAGACAATTCACTCTAAATCCCACTGTATTACAGAACATGTAATTTTCATCCACGGATACATGAGTTTAAAAAAAAAGAAGAAAATCCTCATCCATCTCATTA